CTATTTTATAGCTATAAAATAAGTTCAACAGAATCAGAAAAAAAATTAAGACAGATTTAGTAGCCCTTCAGAACAAGGATCAGCGGAGTTTCTTGTGATCTCAGTATCTTATGTACAAAATTGTACATAAAAAATCAGTGATCAGTAGTATCTTACATACAAAATTGTGGAGTCAATCACTTGGGAATTCTGTTCCTGTGTCTCAAAGGCAAGCATGGAGAAGGATGTGTCATAATTTCTTTAAATTAATTTTAAAATATATAGATCTGGCTTTCATATTTCTGTATTGCTAGGTCAGTAGACTTACTGGGATGGGCTTTTTTCCAGTTTTATGAAGTTAGAGGAATTCTTTAGAATCTGAAGGGTTAGTTTCTAGTCTTTAATTTTCAGAATGTTGTTTACATTTTCTTAGAATGCACATAAAAGTGAAATTGTAACTAATTTTAAAAATGGTGAAAGTACTTTTTCACAAGAATTTTAGCTTTTGACTAATTATTAGCTGTATGGTTGCTGGAGCTGCAGATTTCAACAAATTACTGCAGTATTTCCTTCACTGAGTCCTTAATAGTACAGTTTAACTAACAGCACTATTTACTCCTTTAGTAGTTGATCATTATCAGCAAAAGCAGTATGATGAACATTGCTTTTTTTACAGAGTAATCTTATTTGAAATATTGATTAGGATGTGGTTATTATCACCCATAATCTCTTGGAGGAGAAGAAAAAAAAGTCAGTTGCCTTTCTTAGTCCTGCTTCTAACTTTTAAAAACTGACATGTGTCTATTATCTGTGTAAATGCTAGAAGCTGTGTCTAAATTGAAAATTATTAGGAATTTATTGTCATTACAATAAACCTAAATTGGAGAATGTTTAAATATGGAAATCATTGCACAAAGCGGTTAGTTATCATCACAAACACATTTGGTCTGTGTAGGTATTTTATGTTCCTTTGATCTTGTGTTTGTCAGCATTACAAAAATATTGTGGTATTCTAGTATTATATACCCTCAAACTTCTGATAACACCAATTTTCCTATGGCGTAGTAGTCATGTTTAATTATATTGATAATATCAGTGGAAATATTTTGTAAGCATGTGTTTAATCTGGGATTTAAGAAAATAATTAAGCACCGTTATGATAATTATTAAAATTTTAGCTAAAGATTAATAGGGAATTATATAGAGGACAAAAACATCCTTATATTTAGTTTTCTAGATTAAACATGAGGAAAGAATAATGGGCACTGAAGAGACCATTCATGTTAGCAGTGTATTTAGCATTTTGAGCAAGGCGGATGGTATCCAGAAAGGGTTCAAAGAGCTTTTTGTAGGTTGAAATTAAAGGATAATTAAAAGAATGCAAGCTCAAAAAACTAAGCTCATTAATCCTGTTTTTACTTATCTAGCAAGCTGTAGTTACAAGGAATTTCTGTAAAATGTTTTTCATCTCTAAAACCTTTTTTATTCTAAGTTATTTCTGGGTAGAGTTGTTTTTTCTTATTGTTCTAGTAATGTGATGGTCAGATATGGGATATAGGGACTTTGGGGAACTTTAGAATATAGGGAGTGCTTGCATCATACCTATTCTAGTAAATACTCTCTTTTATATTTAACTAGTTTGTACAGATTCTGAATGGATATAGCTGTGTTCATCTCTGCTATTGATAGTGTTCTCAAGTTTAAGTTTTGTTTTTGAAACTGCTGGTTTTAAGGCATTCCCAATAAAAAAAATCTGTTTAATTCAAGTTCCAAATTAATCTTTCTTAGTTGGAGTGATGGTCATTTTACTTCCAGGAAGTGCTGAGTATACTTCTTGAGATTCAATGGGCCAAAATCTCATTGTCTGACTGCTTCTCAGGCTTACTGTCATTCACACTGATTCTTATTAGTCCTGCAGTATTTTATGCCAGCCTCATCAACTACACTTCTAACATGTTGCTAGCAAAAGATGTCTCTCCTCAGTTCTAGAGTAGCATTTGTTCCTAGCAGTATTGGGCTGAATTCTGATTTTCAGACAACTTAAAGGAGCCTCATACCCCCAGGACTGGTCTTCACAGGACCTTGAATCATCCTGATACCTGATGAAAGAACAATACAAAAGAGCTTAAGCCACCAAGGAGATCTTTCAAGTGCATTGATGACAGCAGCTGTCGTAGTTGATGGTGGAACCAACAAGCAAGGGTGCTTTGCTGGACCTGGTGATTATGAAGAATAAAGAACTGGTCAGGGATATGAAAGTTCAAGAAAGCCTTGGAGGTCTGGATCCTAAGGGGAGAAAGCAGGGAGATAAAAAAGGACTAGAGCACTGCATTTCAGGAAAGCAGACCTCATCCTCTTCAGAGCTCTGCTTGGAAGAATCTCATGGACTATGGCCTTGAAGAGAAGAGGGGTCTAGGAGAGCTGGCTGATAGTCAGTAATCACTCCCTCCAAATTCAGGAAAGGATCACCCCAATAAGCAGGAAATCAAGCAAAGATGGCAGGCAGGGGTAAGCAAGGATGTCCTAACTGAGCTCCAACATAAAAAGGAAGCCTACAAAAGGTGTAGGAGAGACAAGTGACCTAGAAGTATAGATGTCCTGACCAGTCTTGCTGAGGTGGCACTAGGAAAACAAAAGCTGGCCTGGAGAGGGATATAAAGGGAAAAAACAAAAGATCTTACAACTACACAAACAGCAAAAAGCTAGGGGAAATGTGGGCCTGCTACTGACTGGGGCAAGAGAGCTTGTGACAAACTATTTGGAAAAGTCCAAGATGCTTAATGCTGCCTTTGTCTCAGTCTATGCTAGTAAAAATGGCTTTCAGGAATCCCAGGCCCCTGCAGCTAGGGTGAAAGTCTGGTGCAAGGAGGATTTTATACTTGATGGGAGAAGAACCAGGTTAAGGAGCAGTTAAATGAACTGGTCATACATAAATTCATAATGTATGATGTGTTGCACCTGTGAGTGCTGATGGATCTGGCTGAGGCCATTGTGAGGTGACTTGATTATTGTAAAAGATGATGGGCTATTGGGAAAGCAGATACCATTCATGTCTTCAGGAGCAGCAAGAAGAAACCTCTGGGGAACTTCAGGCTCGTTGACTTCAGCCCAGTCCCTTGGGAGATGATAGAGGAAATCCTCCAGAAAAGGATTTATAAAGTCATGAAGGACAAAAAGGTGATCCTGAGTAGTCAGCATGGATTTAAAAAGTAGTTTACTCATGATTGACCAACCCTGGCAGCCTTCTGCAGTTGGTAGACAAATAGAAGGCATTGGATGTTGTTTAACTCAGCTTCGTACACTTACCTCCCATAATATCATAGACAAGTTGACAAAGTGTGAATTAGGTAAATAGTGAGTTAGATACAAAGTAGCTGAATGACCAGGCCCAAGTTGGGATCAGTGTCACCAAGTCAAGTCACAGTACTAGAGGTGTACCTAGGGGTCAGTACTCGGGCAAATTCTATTTAATGTCTTCACTAATGACCTGACTGATTGGACAGAGTATACCTGCAGGAATTCCACGGATGATACAAACATGGGAGGAAAGATTGGCACATGAATGGTTAGGCCGCCACTCAGAGGGACCTCAACAGACTGAAGAATTCTCATGAAGTTCAAAAAGGCGAAAGGCAGAGCCCTGCATATGCAGAGGAATAGCCTCATTACAATGAGTTGTAAAGTAGCTTAACAGAGAAGGACCTTGTGCTGGTGGACAATAAGCTCAACATGAGTGATGCCCACTTGCTAACAAAGCAATCCTAAAAAAGGGCTAACAGTATCCTGGGCTACATCAATAGTGCTGCCAGTGATCATGGGGGATGGTCCTTCCTCTCTGCATTGCTGAGGTCACATCTGGAGTGCTGTTTCCACTTTCCCAGTACAAGAGAGACATGAGCCTATTAGAGTTAGTCCAGTTCAGGGCCACAAAGATGATTAAGGGACCCTCCTGTGAGGAGAGACTGAGTTAGCTGAGATTATTCAGCCAAGAGAAGGGAAGGCTCAAGGAGCAAATTCTACCCATGTGTACCAATCAAGAATGGGAGGGTAGGATGAGGAAGCTGTGGTCTTCCCAGTAGTGTCCACTAGTAGGACAAGAGAAAATGGTGTAAATGAAAACATACGAAATTCCATCTTAACACAGGAAAAATATTTTACTCTGAGGGTGGTCAAACACTAGAATAGGTTGCCCACAGGAGTTTTGGAATCTCCATTTGTGGAGATACTCGAAACCCAATTGGACATGGCATTGGGCAGCATGCTGTAGCTGACCATGCTTGAGTAGGTGGGTTGGGCCAGATGAACTCAGTAAGTGCTTTCCAACCTAAATGACTTTCCAACTCTTAAATCAAGGCTGTAGCATCCTGTGTAATGAGTGTGCTTACAAAGTAAGCTTTGGCCAAGCTTAGCTCTTTTGATTCTTCTTTTTTAACTTGTTTTGGAATCTGCAGGTAGTGATTTGGGTTTTGTTACAGAAAATTTCCTTGTAATAACTAATCAGTAATAGGTATTTTGAGGGGAAAATTTTTGATTAAGAAATTGTCAATATGCATATCTGTCTTACTGAAAAGGTCTTCAAAAAATGAAATCATAAGTTCTCTAGACATTCCAGTGAATGCTGCTGCTTCAGCCTGCCACTTTTATATAATGCAGTAGAACCAAGCACAGCCCCCAGCAGCTGCTCTGACAGTGCTGAGGCCAAGCTAGGCAGCTGCTGCATCACACAAATAGATTCGATTCAATTTCACAAAAGTTGGAAATGAATGCTTAGTGGTTTTAATTGGTTTTGTATATTAGGGCTATGCTAGTTTAATTTATAGTTGCAGTTTCTTTTATGACCGTATGAGATGTATAGCACCAATATTTGTATTTCTTCTTAACTTACAGGATGGAGGTCTGCTCCTAAATAATCCTTCTGCGCTGGCAGTTCATGAGTGCAAGTGTCTCTGGCCGAATGTTCCATTGCAATGTCTGATTTCACTGGGCACTGGTCGGTACGAAAGTGAGGTGAAGACCAATGTCACACACACCAGTCTGAAAGCCAAACTGACGAATGTTATCAACAGTGCAACTGATACAGAAGGTTGGTGTCTTAAGATACACTTGTACTGTGACTGTCTTCAATTTTATTTATGTTTCTTAGAATTATAGTTCCAATTCAGAGAACAGTCTTCAACCTTTCACCTTTCCCCATCTCCTCTCTACCAGCCCCATGAAACTAATTGAAACAGGTCTCTTTATAGCTTACTATGCATAGTTTTAGTACCAGTATTATGTATTTTATGGAGGATAACTCTTTTTACTTGAGCTTTAGGATAAAAAGCATATTCAGGAATTTGTTTAAAAATCATATTTTCTTATATTTTATTTGTTTTTCCCATAACACAGAAATGCTTAGTAGATGTAGAACATCGATTCTAGAACAATATAGAACATTGATTTTCAACAGCTTCAGAAAAAGTATTTGATTTCTGGTATTTTTTATATATGCTTTTATACCTGTACTTTTCCAAAGACTGTACTGAATCTGCCAGTGCTAATGACTTCCATTGCTGTCAGGAAAAGCCAAACATCTGTTTCTAAAATAAATTTGGTTCCTAGATGGGAGTACACTGGAACTGTCACTAGCAGTTTACATCTGTTTTATTTTTATGAACAGGAAATAGTGATACACAGATAATTTCCCCCTCCCATTCCAAAGGAAACTGATAACTGCAAAAAGCCAGGGAACAAGAAATGCTCTTACAGTCTAGATCCCTTGCTCTATAGTCTCTGTCAGCTGACTGTCACTAGTAGGAAAAAGCTAGATTTTGGATTGCCTTTTGGTTTGTGCACAGTAGTGTAAAGGCAGTGGAAATTCTGGGAAGGAAATATGTGATCTCCACTTTTTATCAGAAAGTTTCATTGCAGCTGAAAAATGAGGCAAGAAATTCGAAGGGAAGAGGAAGAAAAGAAAGTTCATTGTGGAGACCAAGAGAAAAGAAATGGGAAGAGAGAAGAGTAGATTTGAGCAAATGGGAACTTAAATTATGAAGGAAAAAAGGGAGAGTATTAAATAGGGCAAGAAAAACTGGATGTGGTGAGACAAGAACAGACATAGCTGAGTTATCTGCAGGAGGAGAAGCCAAGCCAAGAGGATTTTAGATCTACAAGAATTTTTTGCTTTGATCTTGTCCATAATATTTTTTTCACTTCAGACATTTTATATTACAATAGATGTTTAAAAGAATGGAGGAACACGGTAAGAAAACAAAGAAGATAGAATGAATACTGAAGGAAGTGATAGAAATGGAATTTTAAGTGGGCCAACAAAAAGATCTAAAAGGAGAGAGAAACAGGTTATAAAATAGGAACATATTAATGCATTACATAGTTTTTTATTCTACTAGTTAACTGAAGTAATATAATTTAAGTTGAATGTTTTAAATTAAATGCGTGTTAAATTCAAGCCTCAAATCTGTAGTAATGTGTTTAAAAAAATAATAGTTTTAAACAAAATAAAGCTTCAGTCCTACAAATTTTTACTTTGACATTGCAGAAGAACATACCTCTTGTTTTCTGTTTTCATAATACCTACTTCTGTTAGTACCAAGTGTAATAAATCACAGGTATCCTGAAATGGGAAAATGCAAGTTACATTCCTGGTTTTCAGGATATGCTCTTACTTGTTAAGGAATGGAATGTAATTAAAAATCTAGATAGCTGCAAAGTCTACTTAATTGACACGCCAGTAAAGTTGTCTTGGAATAAAAGATGAAGCTTTTCCAGAGTAAACAGAGCTACAGGATCATTTACAAATCTTCTAATGAGAAAGGGGTTTCAATGAGGCAATGGCAGAAAAATGTTTACTCAGCAAAGCAGTTCATATTTACTCTTACTGTGTCTTACTGTGTCATTACTGTCTTACTGGCAGTTGTTGTTCAGAGCACTTGCAGGATGTTAGACTCTCTTGTGGGAATTTAACTGTTTTCTTCATTTGTTTTCAATACAGAAGTTCACACCATGCTGGATGCACTGTTACCTCCAGATACTTATTTCAGATTTAACCCTCTTATGAATGAAGACATACCCCTGGATGAAAGTCGTAAAGAGAAACTCAGTCAGCTGCAGACAGATGGAATTCGTTATTTAGAAAGAAATGAAGAAAAACTGAGAAAAGCTGCAAAAATATTAACACAAGAAAAATCAGCTTTGCAGAGGCTTCAGGACTGGCTAAAATTAAAGGCTGACATGTATGAAGGCTTGCCATTTCTTTCCAAATTGTGAATAAGTAATGCGTGAAAGATAAATGTAAATCTTCTTCCAGAAAATCCATTTGGTACTGTAAAGGAAGAATATTGATTCAGGGTAAATAACATCTTTGGAAAGCTATAAGAATTCTGGGGAAAGCCATTCAGGATGGCTGTTTTGTGCACACTTGTTACAAGGTTTTATGGTGTTAATTATTTCTGGAACTTAGTGAATCTTACTGTTGCTCTACTTTAATTTCTGAAAGTCGGTAAAACTGTAAATTATGGAAACAATTGTGCAATGCATTTTTGGATGTATGTATGATAATTACAATGGCAGAAAACCTTTATTTATCAACTACCAGGCTTATTCAAAGTTAACAAAAAAAACTAAATCCTCATTCACTTTAGTGTAGGCATAACCTGTTAGGCTGTTATGTAGGCAGTGAATTTAATAGAAATGTAATGTTCTTGCAAAAACTCGGCCTGTGTTAATTGCACTTTTACATCTGAAAAATAACATTTAATTTTTTTTTTTATTTTAGTGGATTTTGTACGTAACAGTATTGAGTAAAATGTTTGGATGACTATAAATGGCCTATTAAATTATCAACATCACCTGGTATTTTTAGAACTTTCTGCTTATTGTTGTTATGGGAATAACTTCAGATCGATTAATTTTTTATTTGAAAGTAATCCCAAGCCCAAAACTTCATGTGAGCAGCTATTCCCAGTTACTATTAATATTAGCTATTCCAGTTAGCTATTCCAGATAAAGGAAATAAAATACTGAAATAGCTCATATGAATGAAAAAGTGTCTTAGAAAAGCTTCAGGTTTGGGTGCCAGTTCTAGTCAGAAAGAAAATTAGAAGTTGAAACATCAAATTACATAATTTATATGGGTTCTCCTGAAATTATGTCAGAGCTGTGAAGTTAATGTTTAGAACTTACTCCAGTCCTACTGCCCATTCCTTTGAGCATACTTCCTGCATATGCCATGAGGGACATGAGCTGTGACAACCCAATGTATCAAACAGCATTTTCAACAACAGGGAGGTATGTGGGAGTTCTTCAGAACAGTGCAGTGCTCTTTCAGGTGGACACGGCTGCTGCCACATGTTGGCAGGTACCTGTTAATAAGATTGTTTGCCACGTGCCTCGGTGAGTGTTTGCCTTGTAGTAGGCAGCTTACAGTGCATGAGAATATTGACTAGATAAAATATAAGTTCTATGCAGTAGCTAAAAGATTCAATTTCACCAAAATCAGTGCATTTGTCACTTTGCTGTCTGGAACTAATCACCTGCCATTGCATTATCTACTAAAAATAGCATTTATTATGATAGTCACCTTTTGTACTTGTTTTAAAACATTGAAAATATTAGGCTGCAGTTTGGAAAGGAACTATGAGGCAGACATCTGAGATCCTTGGAGGTGCTACATAGTATTCTCGACTGTGCAAGAAAACATTTGATTGGGATGTTTTGGCTTTTTTTAATTTGATATATTTTTATTTTTGACATGTATGATTTTACTCAGACATTCATCTTTTTCATCCTCAGTTCTCTCCCTTGTATTTGCCATGCAAGGCAGAGATTTATGATCATAATCCATCTTTCATTTATACAGCCTCCCTTTTGCATAACAATTACTAAGAACTGAGTAGAAGAATAATGAGATCAAACCTTTCCCATAGGTGTGAGATGATTTAAGCATATAAAAAAGAAATGCCAATATTATTCTGATAGTGGTACTTTGTACAGAGTTAAACTGTGTTGCCAACATCCTAAGTCAAAACAAACAGTATCAGGTAGTCTCATGTAACAACACACATTGCACACATCCTTTCTGGCAAAGAGCAAAGTCACAGCATCATCCATGAGATATCAAAGGCATTATTCTGAATTCATAAGTTTCCAGTCACAGTTTTTTGGGACAAATATTATCTAACGAAACACATGCCTATCACAAAGTGATAACATTTCCATTTAATTTTTTTTTTTATAAATAAAATCTCATGTTCTGAGTATTTTATTTCAAATAGGGTAAGATCTGGATTTGTGACAATACTGTTTTTGCCGGAAGCTGCTGTCTTACCTTCATTCACTACTTTTCCCCCTCTTCTTTATTGCTGTAACAATATTTTTCATAAGTGTGGCTTTTAAAAGTACACATGGAATTGAGTTTAACTATGGAGTAATTAATTCAGACTGTTCTGGGCCTCTGTGTACATAAATTCACAAGATGCTTGTATTGAATGCCTTCAAATTAACTCTGTTATCCTTTGTGTTGCAAGTGCTGCACTGTCAGTCACTAATGAGGAGTTTGTTCTCCTTGCTAAACCATATTAAAAGGTGGAGATGCAATAGGTATTTGACTTGAGCTATAATTAGATTTTGGTTGAAAAAATTAGCAATTTGCCAAAAATCCTAACTACTATGGATGTGTTCCTACAGCACTCTATATAAAGTAAAAGTATTTTCTGGAACTTTTAGGCATTGGCTGTGGAATACTGCATGATACTTTAACAGCAGAAAATGTAGTAAGAACTGTGGTGGAATGAGATCTTGCTAAATTAGGAAACAATTTTAAATAAAAGGGGTTTATTGGTAGGGAGCAGAGGAATTAGCACTGGGTCAAATACAAGCAGGTTTTAACTGATTGTTGTGATGGACTGAAGAACATAATTCCCTTCACAGATGAATCTAGCAGGGATCATGAATATTTTGAAAAATATGATTTCAGTGCAGCATGGATTTGAGAAGAGAATAGACTAGAATGAAAGAAGTGCCTCTGAAGAATAAAAATGTTAACAACGGAAAAAGGAATATTCTACTGCAGAACATCATGTTAAAAGAATCCTGCTTTGAAAAAATACCCCTGGGAATGCTGTGGGGCTATCCAGTTAACAAACTGAAATTGACTCAGCAGTCACAGCTACTAAAATAACTGTATCGCTGCACCAAAGAATTCCTGGCCAGGAAAATGTGAGCAAACCTGAAAAAATTAGATCAATGTGAATCTTGAGTCTAGGATAAGCAATCACAAGAAGACAATAAGTAGATAAGCATTCTATGTAACTTATGCATTCAGAGACGACTACAAGGTTTGTCTCACCAGATGAATGTTACTATTTGAAAATGTGCCTGTGTCCTGGAAATAAAATCAGGAACTTTATTGGTGCCCCTGCCTATAGCAATGGGATTGGAACTAGATGATCTTTAAGGTCTCTTCTAACCCAAGCTTTTCTATGGTTTTGTGATTAGTTTAGGCTTTAGTTGAGAAAGTGAAAATGTCAGATTTGCAAAAAAGACAAAATATCTTTGCTCTGATTTTGGAAGGCAAAAAGAAAGAGTCCAAATGAGCAAATAAAAAGGAGTAGGCATAATAATCTCCCTTTAGGGAAAATTAGAAGGAAAAAAGACTTAGGTTTTCATATATGACCTCTTAGGTCACCTCTTAGTTTCTAATTATCTATGCAGAAAGAGATGTTACTTGAAGGAGGTTTCATTACCAAAGGAAAGAAAATAAAACTTTTAAATGTTGAAGTGTGATCACTTTAAGATACCTCATGTCAGTGTCCATTCCAGCAGTGAAATGAAGATACTGATTCTATTATATATATATATATATATGTATATATATATATATATATATATATAAATATATATATATTATAGTCAACAAACTGCAGGCAGACAGAGTTGACTATAACTACAGCTTTGGTCAGTGCTATTAGAGAAAGAGATATTCAGACTAAAACAGATGCAAAGAAGGGCTGCCAAAGGGAAGATTAGGAGAGTGTGGTATGTTTCATCCAACAAAACAAGGGCTAGAAGGAGAGAACTTGCTGCTGTTTAAAAATACTTCAAGAAGGAAAAGACAGTAGGCTAAGGGACAACACTTGAATAACACCAAAAGTGCTCAAACTTAGAAAGTAAATTTAACCAGAAAGTAAAAGGTGCTAAACCCCTGAGGAGCAAGGTCACAGAATAGCTACACAGAATTAAAAGAGCAAAAGAAACTGATTTAATGTAAATTTTAGAAATCAATCTCCTGAAGGGGGATTCTGTAATGCACTGTGCCTGCCAGTCTCCATGGCCAACTGAATCCCTTTAACCTGTGAGGCAGGTGAGAACTCATTAATTCCTCATGTGTAGCAGAATAGACTTGTGGAAGTGTCTAACAACTTCTTCTCTTTAGTTCTAATTGATAAGGATTACGTCTTGTCTTTGATCCATTACTTACATTTAATTTATTTTGCTTTTCTTGCTGAGCTGGTAAAGGGAGCTGATACATGCTGAAGTAATACAAGACACATGATAGGTGAAAGAAAAATCTGGTGTATATTTACTATTTATTGGTCACATTAATTTTTCATCAGAGATTAAAATACATATATTCTGCTGGGTCAACAAATAGTGCTGGTTTTCTTCCATTACAAGATTATTCTCAAAATGACAAGTATTAAATACAAACATAATCTGTTCCGGGGAAGATGTGTTAAGGCCTCCTCTTTCAGTTTAAGGACTGCACCCCAGGCCATCTGTGATACTAACCCATAGACTTGTACATTCAGCTACATAAGGCAAGACAGAAAACCCGCTTGTTTGTGTTCTTTCATGTCATTGCTTAAACAGCGAGTAAAATTTTCAGACCTTGCAGAACTGTTCTGTTTAAAGGACAGTTTGCTGCTAGAAGATATATTCTTGGTGCAATCATTCATTTACAAAGAAAAATGAGCATGCCAAATGCCTCTTCCTCACATTCTGCAGGAACAAGATGAGTAGGCTCTTTCCTTGCTCCAGCTGCACTGAGGTGTGAACTCAAGGAGGTGCTTCCCCCCAGTTCCCCTGTTCGCTGCTCAGCCTCATTCCCATCCCTGCAGTTGTGTCTGCTCCTGGTATGTGCCCATTAATTCCAGTGTGCCACCCAGTCCAGTGCTTGCTGATGGCCTTCACGGCTTGCAGATACTCACAATTTTTTAAATTGTTCTTTCTTCAAGATTTAATAAGAACAATTCTATTTAATTATTTTAATTAAGTTAGCAGTTTTCAGAAAGGGGGAACCATTAGCAATTTTCAGTATACTGTAAAAATTAAACAAGCACTGAAATCCTGTATTACTTATATCCCTGGTAATGCATGTTTAATTTATGGAAACAATTAAATTTCGCTTTTTATTTATGATTACATTTTATATATTGGTTTCTCATATCAATATCATTAACAGCTATTTCCCCATATAGTTGTAATAGCATAAAAAGTACATAGGAGCATTTTGATATCTTTACCTTTTAGGAAGAAGCTGTAATATAACATTTTCACATAAAACCACAGAGACAAACTGGAAGGATAACTAATACCTTTGAAGTGCAATGCTGAGTTCAGCTAAGTTAGCATTTAAAAGCTCTTTTTTTCTTTTTAAAGACCTTGGAAACTGGAAAGGAAACAGATTTTTTTTCTTAAACCACTATTTTCCAATTGAATGATGTAATAATCATCACACTAATACCACAGGGAAATGGTCTTCTAGAATGTCTCAAAATTTGGATGGCAAATCCCCAAAAGTAACTCCTTAAAAATCTGGCCTGTGTCTAGGGCATCTTTTCAACAAAGGTGCTGTTCCATGCTTCCTCACTAGCTGCTCTGTGGAAACCAGAAATATGGTCCTGTCATTTTGTAAACCTCATTTGAATGTATTTTCAGGCAAGTGAGTCAGGCAGTCAAAAAACTTGTAACAACAGGAGAACACCACCTATATTGCTAAGAAAAAAGAAGCAAAAATGTTGGAGAGTTTACAAGCTGAGTAGGATCATCCTACAAGGAAAGGTAGGTATTTCAGGTACTGTTTAATATGAGGAGTCAAAGGGCAAAATCATTGACATTGCTGAACCAAATTTCAAAGCATTTCTTTATAGAACCTACCAGGATGTAAGCACGCCATAACTTCCAAACTTGAGCACTGTGTCCATTCCAAGCAGGTCTAAACAATCTGGTTATGAATACAGCAGGAAAGAATATCTCTATAACAGAATAAGTTTTAAGTAATTTGACTAGGTATGTCATAAATCATTGGGAAGAGCTGCAAATAAGTAAGGAAAGCTTAGATGAGATTGTCAGGAAGCAAGTATGCTCTGGGCAGCTGTTTATTGTGTGGGTTCATACATATAAATATAAATGGTTGTGTATATTGGAGGTTGTAAAGAAAAAACCAAGACAAAATACTTCCAGCATGATGTTGTTCCTATATATTTTATATTTGTTCCTATATATTTTATGCCCGGTCTGTAGAATGCATCTACTTTAGACTGTCTTTGAGAAATTGAAAGCTTTTCCTCATCCATTATGCAGGGCTTGGCATACTGCAGCCCCTCAGGTAAACATTACCTCTTTTCAAACAAATACATTTACAGTAGGTGCATCATAATTCCACTTAAAAGAAACACCGTTAAAAAAGATATTGGTGTCCTGAACTGCATATATCCAGCATGCATTCCATGATGACTGTGGGACTGCTGCTGTCATTTGTCAGTATGAGCTGGTCACTGGTATGAGATGCTGTTCCTGTGGCATGCCCAGAAAGCAGCATCATTACCATGCAGTTCATGCTGCATTTGAATTTAGTCATCCTGCAAATGGCCCTGCTGGCACGGGACACTGCAGCTGCTGGACATGGGCAGCTACTGGGCATTCAACAGATACTCCTCCTTCACGTTGGAGTTGGAGCCACTTCATATTAGTGGTCTTTCTGACCGGTCAGGCCTTTAAAAAGTCAAAGCACACAGAATAAGATAGTTCTCTTTCCATCTGGACATAATGAAGAAGACATTATTATCATTGAAGACACAATGCCTTTGCTTTCTTCCCCACAATAGCTCCTTGTAAAGAAGAAGCTTTTGCAGCCAGGCCTCAGAAAACAATAGTCCATGGTCACAGTAGCTCACAGTCAGCTCTAAGTCACTGAAAGCACTGGAAGGGACAAGTTCTCAGGTCCCCAAAATACTTGAAATGTCTGGTTTCCAGTTGGGCTTAGAATGCCAAACCCTGAAGGCATTGTGAGAGACTAACAGTGTCAAGAGGTCCCACTGCAGAACATTCCCATGGTAGGTTCCCCATTGCAAAAGAACTTCAGAGGTGTGGAATCTCTGGAAGAAATAAAATCCATCTGACAGCAGGTACCTTGTTCTAGTAACCTTCGGTATGGAGAGCATCCCTGAGAGACCTGGTGTCAAGTGCCCAGCTGATATACAGGGATGTTTGTGAAACAGGCAGCTATTCTTAGCAGGATGGTGCCAAGCTTTCTCCTTTCTGCCTGGGACAGTTCCTCAAAAGAAGACTCCCATGCCAGCCTTCTGTCACAGAGAAATCTACTGTACAATGAGACAAGGAAGTTTCCAAGCCAGATTCAGCGCTGTGCTGAGGGGTCTTGGATCAGGTTCTCAGATGTGTGTGGAAAGGAGCATGTTTCCTGAACAAGCCAAAGGATCAGCATGGGTGCTGCTCTGCTAACTCTACAAGCTACTTGTATGACTTTGGTTGTCACCATGGAGTGACACAGGGATAGGCAGGCTAGTATTCCAAATTTATTTTTCTCGTGTGTGAAAGGGCAGTCTGCTGCTGGTGGTGATAAAACCCTGTTGGTCCCAATATGTGCCTGTGCTGCTATGCTCTTTCAGAGAAGTGCTATCTGTGATTCTACAAAAGCACGCCTCATGGAGGGGGCATGGAATATGTGCTGGCAGCCTCAAATCACTGCACAGCACAAGGAGGTGCTCTGACCAGAACTGTGAAAGTCATGTTCCTTGTGGAACATGGATCCTCTGGACAACAGCTGAGTCTTTCTCCAGAGCCTGAAAGCATTAGGGATGCAGCCAGAGGCATTCTAAGGGAAGATAATGAAGGAATATGAAACTGCACAAAGCAAAGCCAAAGCCTTTTCAAAGCAGCAAAGAAAACTTCTAATTAGGTGCTCAGAAGTATGTACTTTTCTTATGACAGTTTCTGGACAGCTTTTCTTCCCTAGTTACCTAAAAAGAAATGAGGATAAAGAGCTTCTTCAGAGGGCAAGTCACCTTGTCAAACTGTATTTGTAAAAACAAACACTGAATCTGATAAACCCTTTCTCCACAGCAGTAAACAAAAGACTAGAAAATGATTGAATGCAGTTGATTTTCTAATCTGATGCAGACATGCTCAAACATCTCTATATATAGATAGAGAGATAGCACTTTAGCCTTCCTTTAGCTTAAATTAAACAAGTCTGTATTTTAGTCTGTAGCTAGTCTGTATTTTAGTGTTAACCTCTGGTCTACAGTTAGTTCTGTGAAGGTCAACAAATCAGATCAGAGAATGCTCAATGTCAGTGTTTTACATTTTCATCCAGGTATATGTGCTAGAGCTGTGTTGTCTCTCATCTCTAAGCATACGTGTCTATTGTTACTGAAACAAGATGTCACAGTAGATGGTGGCAAGTGCTGCATCTACCCTTCTTCATCACGGTGAAGATGTCTAGGATTTCAAAGTTTCACTCACACAAGTCATCTTGCCTTATTCTCATCTTGCTTTCAAGATGTAGAAAAATAGCTGTTGTGAATCCAGATCTGGGTTTACTCCCCCAGGGACAAAAGGTATGATAGCATTTCTGTAGGAGTTACAACTTGAGTACTGTTTCAAGATGTTCCCTTTTTCTTTCCCAAAATAGATCAACTTTTTTCTATGTTATTGTTCCCCATTCTGAAGAATTCTTGTATTTTTTATCTCCCCCCTGTAGAACTTGTCTGACTTCTGATACCCTTTTAATGCTGTGATGTAAAGTACTGCCTGTAGAAAGATCACATGCCTAATTTTGAAATCAAATACTGATGTTAAAAACTATTGTAAATTGTAAATTATTTTTATTAAATTGTAAATAATTGTAAATTGTAACGTTTGTGCTCATCTTTTTCTCCATTTCTGGAAAAGAGTGGACTTGCTGAAGATAGCTCTCTTCATGTTAATTCTTGAATTTCTGCCATAGAACATAAAATGATAAAAGTGTTACAGAAAAAAATGCAATAGTTGAAAAATGTCAGTGTTACAGCATTTCTAAGCCTTTGAGCAGAGCACAAATGTTTCTTAGAACAACAGATGATACAAGAAATTAGAAAATCATTACTACATAGCTATTGTAACAGAAGATCATACATAGATGGTGCCAAGGGATTGATTTTTATGGTAGAAGATTCCTCCTTAATCACAATAACAAAAAATAATTTCAGAACATAAGTGAAGTTTAGCAGAAAAAAACAAAGTTTGATGTCAAAGTTAATATATATACCATGTTTTTGAAGAGAAATCTAGATGACAGATTAATTTATTTGGTTTGAAGGCACAGATTGAAACAATAAGCTGCAAATTCATCTGTGTATTGATTACAGATACTCATCTATAAAATGCAAATTACTATTGAATGTGCTAAATGAAATTATTAATTAGCATATATAAATATGTGAGGGAACTCAGACTTAAAGCTGTTTCTGTGATCCATGGTAGTGAAAAATAGTGAGCATGTGCATACACACATCCAGAAAGAAACCTGAATGTTTCCACATCCAGTTAGAAGTTGCCTGTAAAGAATACAGGCATTTTCCTGACTCTGTTTTAGGGACTATATTAGATTTAAAAATCAGTTCTGTGGAACAGAATCAGTTCCGCAAATCCTAAGGTTGTTAGACCTACATTGCCTCTTGCTGTGGGCATCAGAGTCTGTCAGCTACATGCATGAGAGACAGTGCCAGCCTACAGACCACCTTGCTCATCACCAGTTGGGACTTTAAGCACCAAGGTGCGACAAAACTGCAACGCTTTACATTTTTAGACTTGCTTCCACTCTGCCTTTATTATTAAAGTAATCAGAGAATCATAGTCTATCTTGAGTCAGAAAGGCTCAAGATAATTACTAAGTTCAACTCTGGGCCCTGCACAGGACAGCCCTAAGAGTCACACCATGTGCCTGAGAGTGCTGTCCAAGCACTTCTTGAGCTCTGTCAGGCTGGTGCTGTGATCACTCCCCCAGGGAGCCTGTTCCAGTGCCAGCCACCCTCTGGGTGAGAAAACTTTTCCTGATATCCAGCCTAATCCTTCACGCCATTCTCTTGGGTTTAATGACTGATCACCAGAGAGAAGAGACTGGCACATGTCCCTCCTCATCCCCTCATG